CCATCATCCTTGCCAATAACTGGTTCATATGTGGTATGTGACCTGGACCTAGTGATAGTCTGCTGCAAAGCTCTTGGGAGAACTTTCTTTGATCCTACAAGAGACCCACAGAAAGAAATGGTTTCTCCCCTCTCATGATCTAGTAGTAATTGGCTTTAATGTCTGGATTTGCACAGTCAACTGTGATCATGAGGGGAGGCAGCCCGAGGCATTACCTAACACATCATAGATATCAGAGAAGGTGGAAAAAGAGTTAAGTCCTTGCTAGCTTTATTGAGTTGATGAATTATTACTTGTGGGTTTATTGTATGTGGAATAGTATATTGACTGACTGACTTTTTGTGTGGCACTTTGAATTTTCTAGTTTGCACAGGGTTACCAGGAACTCTGGTGGCATAGTGCCTAAGGCATTTGACTGCTAACCAGAAGCCTGGTGGTTCAAACCCACCAGCCACTCTGTGGAAGGAAGACTGGGCAATCTACTTCCGTAGTGATACTGCCTCAGAAACCCAAGGAGGGGGTGCTATGATTCCGATCTGATTCGATGGCAGTGGGGTATAGTGTTACCAGATTTAACAAATAAAAATAAAGGATAGTGAGTTAAATTTGAATTTCAGATAAACAATGAATAACTTTTTGTACAAGTATGTACAATGAGATATTTGTTCCATGCAATATATATACATACTTACACCAATTTTTCTTTCTGGGATCCTTTAGCATTTTATCTGGTAACTCTATACTTTCAGTTAAAATTAGTCTAGCTAATTCAGGGATGAAAGGCTTTTCTCAAGTCCTATATTTCTTTAAAAGTAGCACTAGTGATGTAACACCTAAGGCATTTGACCACTAACCAGAAAGTTGGCAGTTCAAACCCACCAGCCACTCCAGAAGGAAGACTGGGCAATCTACTTCCTAGATTTACTGCCTCAGAAACTCAACAGGGATTGCTATGAGTCAGAATCAACTTGATGGCAGTGGGTATACGTCCTAGAAGTAAAAGGTTAAAGCAGATCTTCTCAGTTTATTTACTCATTGCAGTTTGAGAACACATATTTGAAATGCAGCCTTATATTCTCAAGAGTTAACCAAAAATGCCTGCAGTACTTTTCTTCCTGAGGCTTGTCAATAAATCTTCACCCAGACTTGAAATTTTATTGTGATACATATTAACAGTGGAAGAAGTCAGACAGACCTTAGAATCTCAGCTTCATCACTTACCAGCTGTTTGCTAAAAAACTCAAGACTCACTGCCATTGAGTGGATTTGAACTCTCAGTGACCCTCATTGGGTTTCCAAGCCTGTAAATCTTTATGGAAGTAGAATGCCCCATCTTCCTCCCATGGAGTAGCTGGTGTGTTTGAACCGCTGACCTTCTGGTTAGGAGCCAAATGCCTTATTCACTGTGTAACCAGAGCTCCTTACTAGCTGCATGGCTCTGGACAAATTTCACCATATACATGAAATCATGTATCTTATGTGTGATGAGATACATCTTATAAAGCATTTACTAAGTCAGGCATATATTACTTGCTCTATAGGAGGGGCTGCTATGACTTGGGACTGACTCAAGGGCAATGAGGTTTTTTTATATGTATTAGACCTTTTCCTGTGTTGATTGTGAGAAACTGTCTGAAGTATAATTTTAATGTCCTATACTAAGAAGCAAAGAGCCCTCTGGCGACTTAGTGGATAAGGCATTTGGCTGCTAGCCACAAGGTTGGCAGTTCAAACCCCCCAGCTGCTCCACGGGAAGATGATGAGGCAATCTACTTCTGTAAAAATTTACAGCCTTGGAAACTCAACGGGGGTCACCATGAGGCAGAATTGACTCAATGGCAGTGGGTTTGGTTTGGTTTATACTAAGAAGCAATACAAATTGATTAATCCTACCAAACCTCTGTACTGTTCCACCCCCCTGCGTATCTTTTGCAGAATGAGTGGAATAAGATATGGGTGAATGAGGTGCCTTGTGGAATGTAGAACCTGTATCCCCTTACTGCATAGCTGAGGTGTTCCTCCTGACTCCGGGACTGAGGCATATGAGATTGTTCAGGAAATGGAAGATAACATTATTATAAAGATTATTGTTACCTAAACAAAAGAAGCATAGACTTGGCTCCTCCTGGAGGACAGAGACCATCTCATTCTGAGTATCTTCAGTATCCGGCAGAATGGGTGCCATACATTCAGATGCTATACATTCCATAGGAATGACTGCCTCTCTCGTGGGCAATGAATAGACCCTACAATCTTCCTAGTGTGTTTTCCCACATTCAAACCATCATATCCATCCTGAGATTTTTCTATCCTCAGAAATGACAGCTGTGATGTCAGAATGACAGCTGTGATGTGGGTCTCATTGTGTTTCTATAATCCTGGAGAAGAGAAGAATTGGAGAGGGAGGGGATGGCAGCTGCCCTCCAGGGGTTGGAGGGCTGTCAGACGGGAGAAGAGCTTGCTTATGCTATGTACTCCAAAGGGCAGAACCAAGGTCACGGCTTAGACGTTCAGGAGAGGAATGGTCAAGTTTGAGCAATCAAAGCCACCCAGTACTGCAGTGCCTCAAATGTGGTGAGATGCCTTCTACAGAAGGCATTGACTCACAGACTAATAAATATTACAGCAGTAACAGCAGCTTTATTTTCTTCCTAACTTCTAAAATGGGGCTATTAATCCCAATTCCTCAACTCTCAGGTGAGATATTTGATCCAGCTAAACCTGAAGAGACTCTTCTGTTAGTTTTCAAGCAGCCGTAAAGGGGTCAAGCAGCAACAATTGTGAGGATGGCGCAGGATGGGGCAGTGTTTTATGCTGTTGTATGTTGGGTCACTACGAGTCAGACTTGAATTGATGGCACCTAACAGCAACATAAAAGAGCTACTTGCAGTGGTCTTCAAATTTTGCTGCAGAATACAATTACCCAGGGAGCTTTAAAAAATCCCAAAGCCTGGGCCACACTTGCAGAGATTCTGATTTAATTAGTGTGGGGTGTGGCCTGAGCATAAGGATTTTTTCATAGCTCCCCAAGTGATTCAAATGTGCAGCAAATTTGAGAACTACCAAACAAGTCTGAAAGTTATGATACTGGATTCTAGTTTGGAATGTGATTTAAATAAGGCATGACTTTGAGCAACTTCTTTAACTTCCCTTAGTCTCCTATCAGAGGTGGATTACCCGATAAACATGGGTTTATTTGTGCTCACTTATTAATTTACAGTGAAAAATTTCACATGGTATGGTGAAACTATTCACTACAGATTAGTAAGTAAGCACAAGTAAACCTGTGCTTACCCTGTTTACTGGATACTTCATCACTGTCAGGGATTGTAAATTTGAAAAGAGGCTTGGACTCCATAGGAGGGTGCTGTGAGGTTGGAAGACAGACAGATGTCAGCCATATCTGGAAGCACCATCTTTGGTGTGGTAAAAAAATTGTGAAATTGTTCACTATAGATTAGTAAGTAATCATGAGTAAGTCTGTGCTTACCTAGCTTACGTGGTAATTTGACACTGGCCAAAGTCCTATTTATCAAAAAGGGACCTCTAAAGCACCTTCCTCTGAAACTTTTATTATTTTAGGGCAGCTGGCTTTTGAAGATTTATGAATTGAGGATGGGGCACTTAGCTGCCTTCTAGAAATAGTGAAAGACCTCGGTTCAGAGACATGGGGATCATTTGCACTGTTTGGGGATATTTTGGTCCATTTTAATGGTAGTCATAGATTCCCCTTGCTTACCGATGTAAGCATTCAGAAAGCCATAGTTTCAGCCAGCTTTTGCTTAATACAGGCTTACACCACAATTTGCCAAGCAAATCATAGAGGATGGAAGAAAGTAGCTTTCTTTTCTCTTCTCCTTGATAACAGAGGGTGCTCTGTTGTCAGAGTTCTTATCATCTGGTGGATGGCTAGCTGGATTTCTTTGTACTTTTTTCATTTGTAGTCCCCCCCTCCCCCAAAGGTGTTATGTTATCTGTATTTCTGTTTATTCATAGTTATTGTTGAAGTTTAAAATGTGGAATATCACAAGGCATAAAATATCAGCATCTCACGGGGGTGGGGGTGGGGGGGTGGGGGCGGGGGTATGACCCAGTGATTTTTATTTTTAAGCAAGAAACTTCTTACTTCCAAAAGGAAAAGTACTTTTGGAAGGATAGTCTCCTATTGTTACTTTAACACTTCCTGAAATTCTAATTTTTTTAAAAATTTTTCCTCCCAAAGATCCAATACTGTGTATACATTTCAAGATAAACAACCCAGTTAAAACTCAACCCATCTTATCAGGAGAAGCTGTAAAAACTCCGGATGACTTATGAAAGAGTTAAAAATGTTCTCTTCTTCTTCTTGATGTCAGACCTGGACACACTCTTTGCTATTGAAGTATATGCCATTAGCACACTATGGAAGTGGGAAAGAACTACTTTTTTAAATCGCGAGGGCTGCAAAGCAGTAAGAAGGATCACAGGGCACCACGTCAGTGACAAGTTACAGGAGGTGGTTTCCCAAAGGTTGTGAAAACTAGTTCCCCACGGCAGGAATTGGGTTGGGCCACTCCTTCACCCCCCTTCTCAAACACAAATATTTTCATATAATAAAAGCCTGTTTCCCTATGGTTATAACCCAGCCTCCTTTCCTCCGACACTTAACATTTTCAAGGGGTTTATTGCGTGTACGTTTCCAAAGTTCCTAGGCTTTATCTCTTTCTTGATCATATCTTGTAGAGGTGAGGCGCCCCCCTGAGAACTCAGGCTGGGTGAGGGGACAAGAAACACCCACTAGGACCCAACCCCGGCAGCCAGCGGCCGGAGCATGCGCTGAGAGTTTGTGCAGCTGGCCCCGGCTGCCGCCGCTGCCTCGTCCGGACTTGGCGAGGACTTGGGAGGGACAGCGGCGCTGGGAGGTGGCTTAGCAGAGACTTTCCAGCAACTGCTGCCCAGGACGCTTTTTTTTTTTTTTTTTCCTCTCCCTTTTCCCAGGAGGCGGCGGCGACGGCGTGGGGAGAGGAAGAGAAGGAAGCGTATCCAGTTGGAGTCAATGCAACCCCTCGGCTGTCCGGGAGGAGCGTCCTGGCCCCGATGAGCCCCCGTCGCGCGTCCCCGACTGTGCCCCGGCGGCAGAGGGGCGCGGGGCCCAGCGCCGACGGTGAGTGCCGCGCGTCTCTTGTCCTTCCTGCAGCGGTCCCGCCAGGCGCTGACTGCTCTGGGCT